GTCCCCATGGGTGTCACACTGTCCCTATGGGATTCAGGCTGTCCTTGGGAGTGTTAGGGTGTTCCCAGGGGTTTTGGAGTGTCCCTGGGGCTGTCACACTGTCCCCATGGGTGCCACACTGTCCCTATGAGATTCAGGCTGTCCCCAGCCATGCCAGGGTGTCCCCAGGGGTGTCACACTGTCCCCATGGGTGTCACACTGTCCCCAGGGGTGTCACACTGTCCCCAGGGTTTCAGGGTGTCCCTGGTGGTGCTGGGCTGTCCCCATGGGTGTCACACTGTCCCTATGGGATTCAGGCCCTCCCCAGCCATGCCAGGGTGTCCCCAGGGGTGTCACTCTGTCCCCATGGGATTCAGGCCATCCCCAGCCATGCTGGGCTGTCCCCATGGGTGTCACACTGTCCCCAGGGGTGTCACACTGTCCCCATGGGATTCAGGCCCTCCCCAGCCATGCCAGGGTGTCCCTTATGGGTGTCACACTGTCCCCATGGGTATCACACTATCCCTGGGGATGTCACACTGTCCCCATGGGATTCAGGCTGTCCCCAGGGGTGTCACACTATTCCCATAGGTTTCTGGCTGTCCCCGGGGGTGCTGGGCTGTCCCCATGGGTGTCACCCTGTCCCCATGGGATTCAGGCCCTCCCCAGCCATGCCAGGGTGTCCCTTATGGGTGTCACAGTGTCCCCAGGGATGTCACACTGTCCCCAGGGGTGTCACTGTCCCTGTCTCACCTGACGTGGCTGCAGACCTGCGCGGGGCTCTGCCGCTGCTCCTGGGCGATGCGCAGCATGTCCAGCACGGCCAGGCTCAGGCACTGCTCCTGCGAGGGCAGGCTCAGCCCCACGGCCACGCGGCCCCCGATGAAATCACTGCGGGACTGGGAGGGGCACGAGGCTCAGGGGGGGCTCTCCCATCTCCTGAGACCCCCCAAACCATGCCAGTGTCACCCTCGTGTCCCAGAGGCCCTGGGAGTCACATCCTGCCCTGGCTCTGCCTCCCTGTCCCTGGGGTGTGTCCCCATCAGGGGACAGTGACCCAAGGAGGAGGAGGAGGAGGAGAGGGGTCCGAACATCCCAAAAACACCCCTGGCATGATCCTGGTCCCCACAGGTGGCAGAGAGAGCCCAGGGGATGAGGAGGAAAGAGAAGAGAGAAGAGAGAAGAGAGAAGAGAGAAGAGAAGAGGGGTCAGAACACCCCAAAACTACCCCCGGCATCATGCCAGTCCCCACAGGCGACAGAGAGAGCCTGGGGGATGAGGAGGAGGAGGAAGAGGAGGAGGAGGAGGCAGGCTGGCAACGCTCACCTGGGCGAACAGGTAATCAATGACAGGATAATCCAGGACGGGGCTGGCCCGGCCATTGAGCAGCTGGAAGCGGTGGGACTGTCCCAGTCCGCACCAGTTGGGGAAGAAGAACCTGATGGGGACAGAGGAGGGGTCTCAGTGTCCCCCAGAGAGCAGGACCCCAAGGGATGTCAGGGAAGGGTGGGAGCCTCACCGGATCCTGTACACCACGACCTGGCTGCAGGACTCGTCCACGGTGAACACGTGGTTGGGGGGGAACCAGCAGCTCAGGTCCTCGGTGGCCAGGGCGAAGAGCGGGTGGCACACGGGCAGCACGCCTGGGNAGATTGTTCCCCCTCCCTCTGCCTGTGCAATCCCTTTCCTTTCCTGAGATCATTCCCAAATCCCCACCCTGGCTCTCTGTCAGTCATCCCATCCCCTCCATCTAGAACTTTCTATCCAGGACATCGAGTGATTATCCAGAGGCCAGGGGTCAACTCCCCAAGTGTTACCCCATACTCTGTCCTAAATGTCCATTCCCCAGTATCCATACCTTAATTTTTCTTATTAGTCAGTAAAATGTTATTATCTACTTTAGGTTTCCACCTCCCTTTCAGTGTAACCTTGGCACCTCTCTGGGGCTCTGAACAGGAGCCCCCTGAGGTTTGTAGGGGCTCCTTGGAGCTCCTGAAATAAATCTTGGATTAACCCCTGCTAAGAGTCAGCCCCTTCATCTTCGGCTGTTGTTCCAGCATCTCCTCTGCTTCAGGGGATCAGCCTGGCTGTCCTTCTGTACCCCCGGGATCAGCCTGGCTGCCTATTGTACCCCAAGGATCATCCTGGCTGCCCTCTGCACCTCCAGGGATCAGCCTGGCTGCCTTTGGTACCCTGAGGATCAGCCTGGCTGCCTTTGGTACCCCCAGGATCAGCCTGGCTGCCTTCTGTACCCCGAGGATCAGCCTGGCTGCTTTTGGTATCCTTGGGATCAGCCTGGCTGCCTTTGATACCCCCAGGATCAGCCTGGCTCCTTTTGGTACCCCCTGGGATCAGCCTGGCTGCCCTCTGCACCTCCAGGGATCAGCCTGGCTGCCTTCTGTACCCTGAGGATCATCCTGGCTGCCTTTGGTACCCCCTGGGATCAGCCTGGCTGCCTTTGGTACCCCCGGGATCAGCCTGGCTGCCTTTGGTACCCCCTGGGATCAGCCTGGCTGCCTTTGGTACCCCCGGGATCATCCTGGCTGCCTTTGGTACCCTTGGGATCAGCCTGGCTGCCTTCTGCACCCTGAGGATCATCCTGGCTCCTTTGGTATCCCCTGGGATCAGCCTGGCTGCTTTTGGTACCCCTGGGATCAGCCTTTCTGCCTTTATTACCCTTGAGATCAGCCTGGCTCCTTTTGGTACCCCTGGGATCAGTCTGGCTGCCTTTGGTACCCCCAGGGATCAGCCTGGCTGCCTTTGGTACCCCGAGGATCAGCCTGGCTCCTTTTGGTACCCCCAGGATCAGCCTGGCTGCCTTTGGTATCCCTGGGATCAGCCTGGCTGCCTTTGGTACCCCCTGGGATCAGCCTGGCTCCTTTGGTACCCCCAGGATCAGCCTGGCTGGCTTTGGTACCCCCTGGGATCAGCCTGGCTGCCTTTGTTACCCTTGGGATGAGCCTGGCTGCCTTCTGTACCCCGAGGATCATCCTGGCTGCCTTTGGTACCCCCAGGGCATGAGACAGTGCCCTTCCCATGCTGTTCACTGCCTCAGGGCTGGCCGGGGATCCCTCAGTGACTCTCAGAGACACCACAACACCGGAGCACCTCAGAGCCACCGCAGCTCCAGGCCACGCCGCTGTCGCCGCACACGTGGATGGTGACGGG